CCCTCCCTCCCTCCCTCCCTCCCCTCCTCCTCCCTCCCTCCCTCCCTCCCTCCCTCCCTCCTCCTCCCTCCCTCCCTCCCTCCTCCCTCCCTCCTCCTCTCCTCTCCTCCCCTCCCCTCCCTTCTCCAATCGCTCCCATCGCTCCCATGAGGATGAACTTACAAGTCGAGCAGGCGGGTTGACGCGAGGAATCTCTGCACAATGATGCGACAACATCACCTCCTCCGCACCCTAGACACACACGGGCTCTTCCATCCCTCCAACTTAGTGAGCTCTCCTCCCCTCCTGCTCCTTCTCTCTTGCCACTCTCCTCCCCTCCTCCTCTCCTGTCCTCCTCCTGCCCCCCTCTCCTCCTCCCGCTCTCCTCCTCCTGCTCTCCTGCTCTCCTGCTCTCCTTTCCCCATTGCTCCTCCCCTTTACAACCTTGCTGATTCCTTTTCAGGTCCGCGAGCGAACTCTCGAGCTTCTGGTCTGCCTGGGCAAGCATCGAGAGGATGCGATCCGGCTCGACGTAGCCCAGCAGGTCACCACCTGGATCCCAGAGGTGGACCGGGGGAGCTGACAGCAGCGCAGGCGAACCTCTGCAAGACCTTGTGCGTGCTGAGCGTGCAGGACGAGGAGTGGAAGAGCAGGGCCATGGCAGCGCGAGCCCTGCTGGGCCTCAGGTGGGGATTGAGTCGATGTGACGTCAGTGACGGCCGTGCAGCCTGCGCAAGGACGGGAAGATGTGCAGACAGATGGTTGAGCATGTGGTGGGATACGAGGAGAACATGGCGAGGGCGATGCTGGGGGGCGAAGTCTCGTCCGACGTGGCCGCGTGCATGTCGGCTGCCTCTTGACGCGACCAAGGTGACGAGAATTGCAGGTCCCGCTTGCTGATGCTCGTGTGCGAGTTCCGTCGGGGCTCGACGGAGGGAGGGAGAGGGGATGGAGCAGGAGCAGGAGCAGGAGCAGGAGCAGGAACAGGAGCAGGAGCAGGAGCAGGAGCAGGGGCAGGGGCAGGAGGATTGTAGATAGGAGAGGAGGGTGTCTCAGCATGTGAATAAGTGTCTCTTGAACGATCAGGACGTCATACAGACTTGCAGCTAGCAGGAGGGAGCAGGAGCACGATCCCTCCCCTCCCCCCCACTCCCTGCACAGTCATCATCAACAGAGGCCCCACCTGTCCCGTAGGACAGCACCTCCATTCCTCGCTCCTCCTCTACTTGCGGGCTTGCACCATGATGATATGGTAGCCGTACTGCGTCTTGACTGGCTCCTTGGTGTATTTTCCCTCCGGCACCTCCAGCGCCGCATTCCAGAAATCTTGGTCGAGCTCGTTTCTTCGCTTCCAACCCAGCAGACCGCTCTTGCCTGCCTTGTCGATGGAGTACTCCCTTGCCGCCTCGTTGAAGCCCATCTTGCCTAGCAGCAGGTCAGTCGTTAACAACCTCAACTTGCAAGGAGAAGGAGGGGGGGCAGGCGAAGGAGGGCGGGGAGGGTGGGAGGAGCGGGCGCTAGAGACTCAAGGAAAGAAGACGCAACTCAAGTCGAGATGAGAGGGGGAGGGAAGGCACCTGAGTTGATGATCTCCAGGATCTCCACGGCCTAAGAGCGCGGGGAGTCAGAGAAAGTGGCCTGTGGCAGAGAAGGCGAGGGAGGAGGAGGAGGAAGGGGGAAGGGGGAAGGGAGGAGGGAGGAGGGAGGAGGGAGGAGGGAGGAGGGAGGAGCCTGGAGGAGGGAGGAGAGACCTTTGAGTGCTTCTCAACTAGGATATGACGGCACTCCATCATTTCCACTCCCTTCTCCTTAGCAGCTGCCACAGCTGCTGCTTCAGACTTCGCTTTCGCTGCTGCTGCCTTGCCACCAGCGGCTGCCCCTTTGTCCTTTCCCATTCTGATTCCAAGATCTGACGGCGACAATGCTGAATCACCCCCTGCAGGACAACACATGAGAGAGTGTCAGATATTATGAAGAAGAGAGTGCACGAACAGTTTGAAGAACAAGCACAAGCACAAGCGCATCATGCTCAAAGTGTGAGTTTGTGACATGATTTCATCACGAGCATCATTCCAAGTCAAACATTTCTAAGTACTGCAGCATCAACCAAAACCCTATCAACGCAATCTGCTTGCAGTTTTCTGCACCCCGTCCTACCTCGCCCCTCCTCCCGTCTCCTTCCCTTCCTCTCCTACCAATCCTCCCACTCTGCCTCCTGTACTATCTCTTCTCATATCTATCCTCTTCTCCCCTTCCCTCCAGTCCCGTCCCGTCCCCTCCCCCGCTTCTCTTCATCATTCTGCTTCATTCCCGCATGCGCTCTGTTACAACCATATGACTTTTGAGTAAAGAAGACCCCTGCCGTGCCCGGCCCGGGCCGCCCGGGCTGAATCGGCCGTGATTCCGATTTCGCCAGTCAGCGCCCCGGCCCCCCGGGACTGAGCGCCGCCGCAGTGACCCGGGCTCAGTCACATCGGACGGTACTACCGTACGGTCACGGTGCTGCTACGCTGACCCGGGTAGTCGCCTCATAAACGGCTCAGCTGATCATTTCCAGCCTTGCCACTTCAAGAACTCAGTGCGTCACCGGCGACCGTACGGTCACCGTCAGACTCCGGGCCGCCGGACTCAGTGGCCGCCGGGGGACCGGGCCGCCGGCCCCTCCCGGCCAGGCCGGCCCCGAAGTTCGGCTGACTCCCGTTGCCACAATGATGATTCTCAGAGCCTCGGTGACTGCCGCCGGAGTCCGATCGCCGGATGATCAGTCCGGCGGCGGATCGCGGCGTGATCATCATCGGATCCGCCATCGATTCTCACTGCCGATCACAGCCCAACCGTTCGCAGAGTTCCGGGCTCTCAACCAAACAGCCTTTATAATCGGACTGTGACTACTAGGCCCTAACGACGGAGAATTCCTCTCGATAGTTTATGAAGGACCTGAAACCACACGAGTCAACTTCGACTGCTCAGGCATGCGGCTTTTGCGATATGACGCTCAAAAGCATCATTACGTATAGTACAGACGTGCTGAGGCCAAAGGAGAAGACTCCCTTGATCATCTGACCACAGAGTCGGGTGTCATCATCTCAAATACACCTTGACATGACCTTACCTGAGCCTTTGCCGCCGGCGTGACAATGGAGGATATACCATCCTGAAGTAGATCTGGATGAAAATCAGAACACGAAGGATATACCACGTGTAAGACGCTGTCACCGTGTACGATGTCCGGCTTTCTGGAAATGGCAGTCATCAACTCTTGTCTTTGCGCTTCCCTGATACAGAAAATCACTTCATTCCTGACGCAACACAACGTGAATACATAGGCATCATCTCTCCCTGAGAGCTAAGTCCACATCTCCTTGCAGCGCGACTTAGAATCTCCTGTTGGATGCAAGTCAGGAAGGAAAACTAGCCAGCTGAGCATCTGCTGGGGTTAGTGTTCCTACCTGTGGCAGTTGTGTGAAGAGAGCTGCTCGTCTCATGGGGCTGGTGTCCTGCTCAAACTGCAACGTCGAGGGATGCCCAGAGCTCTGGACGACTATCAAGATCTCTCAGCATTGAGTTGCAAGAACAAGTCAGATCCGATACCTGTGAGATTGCCCGCATGCTCGTCTACTGCAGGCTGATAGAGGGATTGGAATCCTGACAAGCAAGCATAACTCAAAGGCACAACTATGGATATTCACGCCATTCTCACTTTCAATCTGTCCTTCTGCAATCTGCTTTGGCTTGTCCGGATGCTCCCCCGCTCCCATTCTAGGGTCCCCTGAAGCATTCGAGTCCAATAAAGTTGAGCGCTAAGGGAGAGGTGGATGGATCACCAGTGTATGATATGGCAGAGATGGTTGTGTACAGCAGATTCTGATCAAACTTTTCCGGGAGTAGTAGCAAGGCCGTCTGTCATGATTCCATCGGTCAGGCAGATCATGGCAAATGGTTTCCGTCACCGCCAGAGCATTTCTGAGGTTCTGTTGGTTTGCTGATTCAACATCTTCGTCATAAACCAATGTTTCAACCTGGTTCCATCAGATGGTCAGAATGTTTTCATTGTCAACTTTCACTCTCAAAACCCTTCAAAACACAATACACTGAATGTAGGTTGTGATCACACACCATGAGCAAAAAGCACTTACCGGTTTCTGCAACCTTCCCGAGATGTATAGATTCTTCCACTCTCGTAACTCCGAGCAAAGTCTACTTTTACTTATGACAGCATACTTGGTTTTCCTAGACCGATGATATCAGGGCTGTTTGCTCAAAGAATCACCGCGTACCTCCCATCGTCAGGAGAGGGCACATTGAAATAAACTCCAGCTCCCACCTCCTGAATTCTGTACAGCGACTCCCCGCCCAGCATTCCGAGCATGGAGTAGTGTCTACACGGAATAATCTTCTTAAGAGAGATAGCTAGACGCCACTATCCTTCACCTCAATCCATTTCTTTTCCAATTCTCTGTATGCCACTAAATTGACATCTGATCAGCTGTTGAGGGCTAGAATGAAATGAAAACCTCGGCTGCGTTCTCTATCGCAAAGATATAGTCCACCATGTTCGAACCCTTGTATCCTTTCTGGCATGTCGGAATCAGTACGAGCAGACTTATCTGCCATTTTCCAATCCGCCCCCCTATTCCAATTCACATCGCAAAGTGCGCATTGGATACCACATCCTCGCAGCCATGTCTCCTCGTGACAGACATGAGCTTCACTATGAGCTGACTGCTACTCCTCACCTGCTTCATCACCGCCGACCCGTAAGCCACGGCATAGCTCACCCGGGGCAGCCGCTCCAGGAGCCATCGTAGCTCTCCCATGGCAACAAACCTGTGGTTCTGCCAAGGGAATCCGTAACGAGTCGCAACGAGTTTCGTAACGTATCGCACTGGTTATTTGTAACGGATACGTAACCGATACTGTCCCGGCGCAGCGAGATCCTCTGCACGCGTCGGCCCGTTGGCCTGTTGACCCGATAGGACTGTTGACCCGTACCTGTTCTTTTGGGTGGACCAGTCACCCGTACTGACCCCATGATCATCGACTCCATGGTACCGGTGATACGAGTTGAAGGTGACATGGGGTAGAGGGTGGGAGAGTGGTTGACCCACCGCCGATCAAGGGAAATCCATGGCGGAGGAGGGAAAGGAAGACTTCAGCGCAGGTCCGCTGTCGCTGCTCGCGGACTCGGTCAGAAAGAACTGCCAGGTATAATTCATCATGATAATCATAGAATGGAGTGGAGGAAAAGATCCAGCAAGCAGGGGATCCAGAGAGATAGGAAGGGAGCTAAGCGAAGAGTAGCTGGAGAGCAGGAGGGGCAAGGTTTATTTATGAGAGGATGGAGACTATGAGTGGGCCATTCGATTGTTTTCTCCTACGATATTACTAGTAGTTCAATGTATGTTTTCTTAGAGGCAACACAGCACAGGTACCCCTCATCAGTGTAAGCCTAGAATGCTTTTGCTCATGTTGTCTAGGGATAGTGAACGATCAAAAATTACTTGTGCACTGCTCACGCATCTCGAAAAGTCCTGGGTAATTAAACTGTTCCTTTCCTTGTGTGTTTGTTAAAGGACTACATTCCAGGTTATGCATAGGGTAGGAGGTGAGAACAACAGTTCAGGAATCGTAGGATTCAGACACATTCCGATTGAGAACTGGTTGATCTTGAACACGACACATGAAAGTATGATGGTGTAGTGAATGAATATTGCATACGGTTGTTCGTCTAAAACAATTTCTGTTATCTTGATTGAGTCCGTCCTCTCCTCACGTTTTCTTCCAGGTTCTCATCAATTGCAGGAACAACCGAAAGCTACTTGCGCGCGTCAAGGCTTTCGACAGGCATTGCAATATGGTTCTTGAGAATGTCAAGGAGATGTGGACCGAAGCTCCACGTACTGGGAAGGGGAAAGCCAAGTCAAAACCAGTGAATAAGGTGTGAGGCGGTGGTTTGCTACCTTGTGATGGTTTCTAACATCAAGGCTTGCAGGATCGCTTCATCAGCAAGATGTTCTTGCGTGGTGACTCGGTTATCATGGTCCTCAAAAATCCAGTGTAAATTCTGTACAGCCTCATACAATCCGAGTCTACTTGCCTGATGCTTTCGAGTTGTGTTTGGGATACCGGGAGATGATACATTATGAGTTGAAAGTTTGTATTGCTGTGCTAGATCTATTGAATGAAAACATCTGCTTTAGCTCTCAGCAATACGAGACGTTGGCTCCATATCCTGCCGTGATGCTTGTGGACCCACAACTCTCAGCTATCAACGTGTTACTTTAAACCGTGGTTTCACTTCATCAAGGCTTCCTTCAACTTGGGAAATCTCTTTCCCTGGCAACGGGCGCATGAAATTAGAGAATGATTCTAAGTACAAGAAGTGACCACCTGCTGCTCTGACTGGCGAAAGTCGAGCTGACACTCCGTGTACGCACTTCCCAATCCAGCTCCAGTGCTCAGCCATGTCAGCATTTTGCGACCACCATGTCCTTTGCCTTGAAAGAACGCATCAAAACAAGTTGCACATCGATGACATAATGAAGTAAAACTGGCAAAAGTGAGGGAAGGAGAAAGTCTACGAATATCTCTGGATGCAATTCAAACTTACGTAAAAGCAACATGCCCAACAGGCTGCCAGCAGCAGCTCCTCCTGCGGTACGCAAAATCGTCCTCTGAAACCAAAAAGAAATAATAAAAAATTGAATGTCTTCAGCATGCAACGACTTGGATGCCATAGAAGAAGCTCGAACATTGACTTTGGCAAGAAGAACTTCTTAACCCCACCCAGAATGGTGGGGAGGGGGGGGGGGGGGGGGGGAAGAGCAATTTTTGATAGTGACACATCGCATCTCAATGTTGGGACGAGCAAACATAATTGATTTCACACAAGCGCAGACAAAAGCTCCATCTTATTACCTGTAGACAGCGATCAGCAATCGCTGCCGTTTCCTCTTCAGGCTGAAAATCCCTCATTCCAAATTGAACTCTTGAATCAATGAAAGAGGATGTAGAAATTGTCGCAGTCTCTCGCTTCTGCAGCACTGCAACACCGTCTCAGACTTGCTCTCTTCTCCTTTCCCTCTGCTGCACGTTGTTTGTTCCAGCGCTTCTGTCTCCTCCTTCGTCCGGACCTCGGTCAGTTCGCCGCCGCGGCCATCACGCTGTCTCCTATAGCCGGCCGAAAGTTAGTGCGCCGCCTGCCAAGACGAGTCCGGGACAACCACTGACTCGTTTTTACTCAAACTGAGTTAAGCTAAAAATTACTAAGTTACTGTACGAGGACACTGATCGGTGATGCGCCGCCAGTGCGCGGCCCGGGCCGGGCCGCCGCCGCGGCCGCGCGCTCAGCTGGGCCCTGAACCGGGACCGTACTCCGACCCGGAGGCTTGAACCGAACTTGAAGCGCAGTAGGACTGTCGCACAGCCATACGGCGAGACTCTGAGAGAGTGACCCGCCGCCGGCTGTGAGTCACAGCCAGTGTGATCGGCCCGGACTGCCAGTCTGTCACTGCGTGCCGCACCGCCGCCGCCGGGTGATCGGACCGTGACCGTGGCACTGAGCCTCGGAGTGTCGCACCGTCGTCAGTGACAGTGACTCAGGCCGCCCTCAGTCCGATCCGCGGCGGGCCGCCGTTCTTGTACCACGAAGGCGTGTAGAATTGATTTTATTGTCGTCATGCAGTACAGTTTGAATCTAAGAATAGCACGCCGCCGATACAAATTTCTGCATGCAAATACTTGGAATAAAAGGTTCACAACCTACCCTTGCCCCAGCCAAGTCGCCCACCCGACCTACTCTTTTCCCATGGGAGAGTGAGGGTGGGGTCTACTCCAGGCAAGGGCAGAAGACCCCCAGGCGCCATCAGGGGGGGAAGGACTGGTACAAATTGCAATTAGAGCCGTGTCCATGATTAGTACCAGAAGGACAGGATCGAGAATTAACTAAAGCTATAAGCGAACGTAATGCGGCGGCCCGGCGGCGCCGGGGCCCGGGGGCTCCCAGCCCGGCCGCCAGTGAGCCTGCCCGGTCACTGAGTCCCCCGGGCGGCCCGATCGCCGGACTGGGCCAGTCCGGCACAGGCAGTGCACTGACGGTACTACCGTACGGTCACCCACGCAACCGTCCGGACCGTCCGACGGTGCCTGACGGGCTTCAAGTGGAGCCTGCGCCGATCATCATCCGTCTCGTCTGATCAGTTCGAAGACAATCAGGAGAGTAGACGAGAGGAGTTCAAGTTAGTCACTAGTACACTACCATAACGCCCGGCCGCCACTCGCGGCTGACTCTGTGAGTCACGAAGGCTTTCCGTGCACCGTCCGGTCAGTGCAGCCTTGAACCTTCTATATTTAATGCTTTCCATCATGCAGAAGGACACTGCATTGTTCATCATCTGATTTAATCTGATCATGCCCGGCATTGTGCAAGACTCGTTTATTTACATCAACTTCGGGAAAATGATGAAGTTTAAAACAACTAGAGAGCGAGAGTCTGTTTACGCTTATCCCTGGCATTGAGCACGTTGTTCAAGAGCATTCCTGGCGGTCCATCGCATTGGACTTTCAGGGACAACCTCCTCAATCCGTTCATACAAAGGTCTTTGTCGTTGGAGATGCGCATCTTCTCCTCGATAACATACGAGCCTCGCTCGGTGTTGAAATCACCCGGGAAGATCAAGGCATCTCCGCGGCTTTCCTTTCGGGTCTTTTTGTTTGAGCTGTATCTCGTGATGGCAGAATATGAAGAAGAAGAAGGTTTATCACACAGGTCATCGTCCTTCCCTGCCGCTCTCCTTGACCCCGCCATGTCACCTCCCGCGAAAAAGATATCCTTCGAAATTCCATGCAGGACCTCACTCATGTCATCCGCAGCATCCATCTCCAGCTCTGTTTCCTCAGGAGATACAGCAACCCAATCGTGATCTTCATGATGCTTCCTGCGTCGCTTCTGTACATCCCTGCCGTTCATGGCGAGCACACTGCCATCGAACTCCGACTGAGGGGGTTCGGTGACGGCCAATTCCAGATCGAGGGATTCGGCAGGAGAGCTTGGCGAAAGAGAGGCAGCACAGGCTTTCGTGTCGATGGAAGCAGAAAATGACGCCATGGACTGACTCGTGGGAGGTAGTTCGAGGGGTGAAGTCTCTACCTGAGAGGGAGCACTCCGACCCTGATGTAACCCGTGGGGTTGCTAAAATGCGAGCCTTTCCTCTTATTTTTAAAAACGTTTTAGGCATAAAACAATGTACTGTTGAAGCTAGATGCATGAGGGGGTGGGTCATCTTTGCTCTATGAAGCCGTCAGAATATTTCATCCAGGGAGCGTAGATTGTATAGGTACCTCATTGATTGTATTTACGATACATCTGATCTTATCGTTTTGAGCTTTGCTCGCGCAGTTCTCGAGGGAGAATGAGGGTATGAATTTGAAGGGTAGGTGTTTTGTTTGGATTGGATACGTACAATACCCACCCTGGTCGATTCATCTCAATCGCACCGGTCCTTGAAAACTAGTCTGCCCCTTCCCATTCGTGGAAGGTCTGCCCTCTTCGGGTCTGTCTCATCATAAAAGTAATTATTGTTAATATCCTTACAATACTTATCTCCACGGAGCGATGTATCTCAGATTTGGCAATGAGATTGGCCCTGCTCGGCCATGGGGCAAACGTGATGTTGGACCGTGCTAGGAATCGAAATAATGTCTTTTGCGAAGAGGGCAAGAATGTAAAAATGTTTTGGCAAACGAACCGAACAGTTTTTTGGCTGTATCCTTTCATGTTTTGGCTGTACCGAAGAGGTGCTGCGTACCACATAGAACAAAGATGTTCGAAAAGTTTCAGTTTCAAGAACAGATCCATCCATGTTCCCCAAAGACGCATCAAGGGGTTGAACTTGAATTGCCGTGACCGCCGCCCGGCCGGGCGGCGCACAGGCTGAACGGCCGGTCCGGGGGCCCTCGACTCAGTACGGTACTGAGTACTTTTACTCAAAGTGAAGTTAAAAAGCAGTACGAGGATCAGTACCGTCTGACCGTGACACGTTTCAACGTCTCTCCTGATTGTCCTCGTAGTCCTCGTACTGATTTTCAACGAGTAAAAGAGTTTTCAACGGGTGACCGTCGTCAAGACTCGGGTGACCCGAGCCTGCCAGGCCCGTGTACTAGTGCCAGCCCAGGCCCGTGTACTAGTAGTACTGATTTTTAACTTAACTTTGAGTAAAAAGTAGGCTACGGGTGTAGGACTGAGCCGATGAGCCGACCGCCGGTGACTCCGAGGCAGACTCGTCTGATCGGACGGCGTCGGACTGTCGCCGCCCGGCCGACGGTGACCGTACTCGCCGGACTCAGGCTGGCTCAGTCGGAGGGCCGGGGGGCCGCCCTGCGCGGCCGCCGCGCGGCCAGCCGGCCGGGCCCCGGCCGGGCGGGGGGCTTGACTGGTTGACTTCAAGTAGTGACCGTACCCAAACTTGAAACGCATCACTTTTTACTCAAAAATCAGAACGACCGTACTCCGGGATCGGACAATCAGGCCGCCTGAGAGACGAGGAGGCTCAGTGACCCTGACACTGTCGCACAGGCCGCGCCCAAACGGCGAGAAGAGAAAAGACAGCGAGAACCAAACCTAATCGGAGGCTGCCATCGGACTCAGCCGAGAGTCACGCACCGGGTGGCGGGCTTTTACTCAAACTGAGTTAAGTTAAAAAGCGGGCCGGTCACCGGGCCGGGTGGGCCCGGTCCGGCGGGCCCGGCCGCAGTGCCACCCTGTCAGTTTGTTGAGACTTTCACTGCCGCAACAATGGTGAAACATCAGCTCGAGGACCGTGACGATGGGGAGGAGAGGAAGCAGCCACGCAAGGAGCGAACGATGAACATCACAGAGCATGCTTTCAAGGACACAGAGAATGAGAGCATGGCAACAGAGCTTGAGATCAAGGACACAAAGGAAAAGATCACGGCAACAGAGCTTGAGATCAAGGACACAAAGGAAAAGATCAAGGAGACAAAGAAACAGATCACGGCAACAAAGCTTGAAATCAAGGGTGCAATGGCAAAGATCACGGCAAAAGAACTTGAGATCAATGAAAAAAAGACGAAGATTGAGGAAATCGAGAGACAGATTGTAGACCGGAGGAGGCAGCAAGAAGCGGAAGATGCGAGCATGAATACAGAGTCCGTGGATTTTGATGAGCTTGTACGGCATCTGCAAAGAGACAAGAAGCGACTTGAAGGAGAAGAAAAGCGACTTGAAGGAGAAAAGAAGCTACTAGAAAAGGGTTTGGAGCTACTAGAAAAGGACATGACGCGACTAGACAGGGATATGGAGCGACTAGACAAGAACATGGAGCGACTAGACAAGGACATGGAGCGACTAGACAAGAACATGGCGCGACTAGACAAGAGCATGGATGCACTCAGAGAGAAGGAGAGGTGGTTTTGGGAACCTGGCAGAGCGCCAGTGTCTTCATGGAAGGGGTCAGATGCTCGGCTGGATTGGATGGGATTTCGCGAGGAGAAGAAGCTCTTCCGTCTCGATGGCTCTTACTTGCAATACGAAGGAGGTGGCAAGGAGGAGGAGCTTTTTCTTTACTGCCGGGAATCCTTCGTGAAGCAGCATCGCTTCTTGCAAGAGGAAGTGCTTGACAATCAGGCTCTTGGGTGGATCCTGGGGCCTCCAGGATCTGGCAAGACGACGACGTCATTTGCGTTCTGCGTATCGCTGGATATGGGGAAGTGGAGCGTAGCCTTTGTCAGGCTGTTTTTTGACGGCTCAGTCAAGTTCATGCGGATTATAGGCAACCAGATCAAATCATGCTGTTTCTCGGCGTACTACGCAACACAGGCCTTTCACAATATTCTTTGTGGATGGCGCGACGACAAGAAGCTTCTGCTCTTGATAGACGGCTACTGGAGTCACATCGAGGCTCACCAACATGTTTTGTCCGTGTGTTCTCATTGGCGTAACCAGAGACGAGAAGATCGAAGGCTGGTTGTCGTGACTTCGATGTCGTCCCGGGGCCCGAAGACCAAGGTCCACTTGGATAGAGAGTTTAACGTTAAGCAGCACTTGGTCGATTCTTGGACGATAGAGGAATACCTAGAAGCAGTGAGGTTCGACGCGGTGTATAAGCGAGTTGAACCGTTCTTAGAGATGAATGTGAGCAAAGACCAGTTGGGCTTCAAGGTACCAAGAGAGCAGGGGGGTAGAGAAGATCGCGTGAGGAGGAAGCACTATCTCGCTGGTGGCTCATGCCGGTACATGTTCGACATGACTTCAGCCGATGTGATTGAGGAACTCAATCTAGATTCGATCTCTGCGAACAGCCTCGAGATGGTCTTGGGGGGGGGGGGGCGTTGGCGAGCATTCGCTACATGCCGTGAATAGCCTGAGAGCACATTACCATGATGGTTGCAAGCCTTACTCCTTGCCAGTGAGCAGGTATGTCGGTATGGAGCTTGCGAGGAAAGTGGAGACATCAAAGTTGTCTCAGTTTCTATCGTGGTATGGTGCAAGTACCGCAGCCTTGAAGTGCCACCTTTTTCAGATGCTATTCTTCCAAGCCATGGAGAGGACAGGGCTGACGGTGAAATACGACAAGTCAGGTCAGACCGTTCATTGGGACGCATGCCTCGTGAAGATCTTCGATCCGAGGAAAAGCAAGAAGACTCTTCCTAGCTGCAGGACATGCTTTAGGCCGATCAGTGAGAATCAGGGAGGCTATGACGCTGTGTTTGTAGACCTACCAAGCAAATGTGCACAGTTTGTGCAAGTAACAGTAGCAAAGCAGCATGACTTCAAGCTCCGCTACTTCCCGGAGGCTCTTATCGCTCTTGGCATTCTCCCCGGTCATGGTTGGACGGTAAAAGTTGTTTTGCTTATCCCGCAAAACAGGGTGAGGGAGTTCAAGATCAGCTGCGTTGATGACCGTGGGAAGCTGAAGGAGTATGGATGGGAGGGAGGACAGGAAGAAACAAATGTGGACATAGCGAGTGTTCTTCTCGAGCATTAGGATGTGCCCATCTGATGGTGTCCATTTCAAAAATGACCACTTGTGAGAAGCAAGCAAAGTAGACAGGGAGGGTCAGAAGCTGCGATACAACCTATGCTCAACACTCGCCAAGGTTCCTGGCAGTAAAGAAATAGCACTCTTCTATTGCCCCCTCATCACTCTGGATAGCACTTTCCCCTTGAGCTTCCCCCTTCTTCCCTTGGGGATGTTGGCGAGCATTCGCAACATGCCGCGAATTGCCTGAGAGCGCGTTGCTGCTGTGATGCAAATAACAGTGGCTGATACTATTGTGGCTCATGAAAATTTCAATACTTTGGAGTGTAGTTTGTAAGCTGTTGTCTCGAATTGTAAGGGATTCTTGCAGAAAGGAAGTGTTGCAGGCATGAGATATTTTGCAAACATGCGGATGCCTTCGTTGAGAGAGGAGAACTCCCCAGGATTCACCTGGATGGGAGGTCATGACGTGAACCCTCGTCCTCCTGCAGCACCTGCAGCCTCGTCTTGACGACATCAAGTGGGACCGTCACCAAGTGCGTGAGGGATGCGCAGAAGCCTCCGGCAGCAAACAGCTTCGAATACTTCTCAAAGTCCATCTTGGAGGCGACAGCCTTGGCCACCGCCGCCTTTGCCATGTGGAATCTTTCTCCCAGGTTTGCCTTATTCAATTGCTGAGGAAAATTCAAGATGCTGTTGGCGTCTTGAGATCGTGATTTCAATCCGAGGAAGCCCGCATCGGGGTTCCCCAGCGGGAAGGACATGGTACCCGCGCAGTAGGCATATTGCGCGAAGAACAGGGCGGCGGAGATGATCCTCAACGAGAGATGCGAGAAAGCACGCATCATCCTCATAAGATATCAATGAAGTGTGTCAGATAATCTGTTGTGCTTCTCCAGTGAATCTGACCGGCGGGCTACTTCGCAACGGTTCGAGATCAGCGCCTTGCTGCACATGAAATGTCAAAGTTGCTCTCTAGGACTCCGACTGAAAGTTGCAAAGGAAATCATTGAAGCCTGATCGGACGGGGAGTCCAGTGTACAACGATGGGCCAGCGGCCGCGGCCGGCCCTGACTACCGTACGCCGACTCCGGGGCCGCCGACTTGCCCGGCCGCAGTGCCACCCCGTTCCGAAAGTCCGACTCAATCTTCAAAGGCTTACCTTTACTCAAAGTTAGGGCCGCACGGTCCGATGAGATCCGACTCGTGACCGTTTCTGCCAGCCGGGCCGGGCGGGGCCGCTGCCCGGCGGGCGGGGCCCGGGCCCGCCCGGCGCCGGGCAGCGGCCCCCCCAGGGCCAGTGACTCGGACTCCGGGCAAGCCTTTAGTGGCAAGAAGAGACTTAAAAGTCTGGCAGGCGAGAAGAGACTCAAAAGACAGCGCTCCGACTCGGAGAGCCAACCGTTGAACCCTCATCCTGGGCCGACCGTCGGACTGCTGTCCGGAAGTTGACGTCAGTGATTCGGATCAGTCACTCGGATGGAGCCTTAGTTCCCCGGGCCCCGGCGCGCCTCATCGCCGGGTCTGACGGCTGCTAGGCTAGCACTCAGATTTCAAAGTCTCGATTGGCATAGGAAAGCCTCCGAGTTGCGGTCCTAGCAAAAGACCTAGGGGGCCTACTAGAAAAGGACGGATCTCAATTAGGAGGAGGTAGGGGTGATTGAGTTGTTTGGGGAACGGGGCTGTACCGATCTATAATCGAGAGGGTACGAGCATATCATTTTTGTAGTTGAGGACAATAGAGATAATAAAGAGCTAGTATCATAGAGGAAGAGAGCGTTTCAATGGGGGAATACCTCATGGGGTGGTTGGGTAGAGGTGGCTTGATATACGGTAGGTAGTAGGGGTAAGGAGGATCCCCTGGGGACGGAAAGCCTGGTGGAACAATGAGTGCGAAATTTGGAAGGGGGAGCTGATGGGGACGGAGAAGGAGGAGGAGGAGGAGGCGAAACATGGCAGGAAGATAAAGAAGCAGAGGGGGTTGAGAGCAAGAGAGGTCTGTAAGGGAATGCGGGACTGAGCACAGCCCCATGGGAATGGGATGAAATGATAGGATGCGAATTCGGAATGTTTTGACCCTGTCTTTGCGAATCAGATGGCCTTCAAGTCACCACAGAAGATTGCAGCAAACAACGTCAACGATGATCATTGGGCGATTGCAGCTCACGGTATGTTGGCACCTGCTGCTGGGTCGATCGAGCAAGGCGATGATTACTGTCACAGGTGGAGCCGGAGCCATCAACGACGTGGCTTCTATTCCTGCCAGGCTCCAGGAGTTCTCTGCTGCTTTCGAGAAGGGGATCTCAATGCTCAAGGAAGGAGCTACGGCGATCGAGGTGGTGCAGGAGGTGGTTGTTATGCTAGAGGACTCCGCGTACTTCAATGCTGGGCGCGGATCTGTATTCACGAACGCAGGAACGCATGAGATGGACGCGTCGGTGATGGACGGCACGACGGGGAACGCTGGTGCCGTCTGCAATGTTAGCAACGTTAGGAACCCTGTCCGGCTCGCCCGAGCGGTCGCAACGAGCACTCAGCATGTCCTCCTTTGCGGGTCAGGAGCAGAGAGTCTCGCACCAAACCACGGGATCCGGATCGAGGACAACCATTACTTCTTCACCAACGAGAGATACGAGCAGCTGAAGCTGGCGAGGATTCAGAAGCGGGTTGTGCTCGACCACGGTACGGAGATGGAGCAGCACTCTGGCAGTGTGGGCATTGCCGCCCCTTCAATCTTCTCGCATCTCGGCATCGATTCGGAGGGGAAGAAGCGTTACCTTTCACCCCTTGACACCAACAGGGACGGGAAGAGAGCAAAACCCAACGAGATCTCAAGCCCGGGGTCGGGAGGAGACACAACCCCCCTCCTCGGTCCGCAGTCTCATTCCGAGTTTGGAGATCCCAACCCTATCGACCTGTCACAAGGTTCAGCTAGCAGGAGATTCGGGTTGCGTCTAATGGTGTTGCATGCCAGGGGGTTGGGCAGCAGAGCACAAGTTTGGGACTGTTGGATGCGTTGCAAGGGACAAGTACGGAAATCTTGCAGCTGCAGGTTGATTTCGCTGCCCTTGCTCCTCGCCCCTCTCCCCTCGCCCTGCCACGGCCCTCTTGACTAGCAGCCTGCACCTCCCTGAGGCTGTGACAGGGAGTACGGGAGGGCTGACGAACAAGCAGCCGGGAAGAATAGGAGACACGCCGATCATCGGAGCAGGGATCTATGCCAACTCCACTACATGTGCGGTTGCCTGCACCGGGCAGGCACGAAGACCTTTCTCTTCACGCATAGAACGACTGATATCTGAGTCAGGGAGAGACTTTTATCAAGAACTGTGTCGCGCATGACGTATACGCTAGGATGAACTACCAGGTGCCTGAGCTCGTTGACCCTCCTGTCCTGCTGACCCTGTGGGGTGCCACCCAGGGCCTCCCGCTCGCTGCTGCCATCGACGAAGTGATTCTGAATGTGCTGCCCCCGGAGACTGGAGGGATGATTGGAGTAGACTCCAACGGCAAGGTGCATGCGAGCTACAACACCGCAGGGATGTTCACAGGTGAGGTGTCCTCATTAGCACTGGTGGAGGGGAAGGGAGGAGAGAGTGAAGCTATGGGAAGAGAGGCAGGCGAGGTAAGGTGAGCAGAAAGGAGAGAAGCAGAGAATTTCAGGAGGGGAAGGGACAGGAGGAGGAGGAAGAGGAACGAAACAGGGAGTAGCAGGAGGGGAGGGCAGGGGAGGGCAGGGGAGAGTTTCGCAAGAGAGTTGTTCGATCTAGAGCAGGCAGGGCTCGTGACGTGTCGCTTGTTTGCAGGGTTGGCCGACTACACCGGGAGGCATGAGACATGGCACAAGGTAGGAGGGAAGGGAGAGAGAAATGGGGACTGACGAGCCGGTCGAAGAAACACGAGCAAGCGGAGCAGACGATGCAGGAGCTCAAGATTGTACCTGAGTTCATCGACGACTTCAAAGTCCTCGGCTTGCTCAAGGTTGGAGAGAAGAGGAGGGGGCGAGGGAGGGAGAGAGGCAAGGAGGGAGCGAGGGAGGGAGAGTGCATGACTGTATTGGGAAGGTCTGGTATCATCAGCGAACAGGAGCAGTCTCGCGGGTGTGCTTTTCTTTCCTCCTCCCGCGCCTCCTGACGGCTGCGCAGGTCTTCCTCAACGTCTCGGGAGGAAAGAGACTTACAACATCGCAAACGAGGCTGCAACCAACCGTCTTCTTCCCTGGTATCCCTGGCTTGTCCCTTCCTCTCCTTCCCTCCCCGCCCTTTCCCTTTCTCTCATCCCCTCTTTCCTCCCCTCTCTCTTCCCCTCCTCTGCTCTGATCTGATCTGATCTGCTCTGCTCTGCTCTGCTCTGCTCTGCTCTGCTCTGCTCTGCTCTGCTCTGCTCTGCTCTCCACTTCTGCTACCTCCCCTCCCCTCCCGTTCCCTGTCTCGCACGTCTGGTTGCCCATCCTCTCCTGCAAGTCTCTCAACTCACGGGCAGGGACCGGCCACTCGACTCTCCCGAGCTTGCACACCCTCATCATGGTCTGCCTCGACAGCCTGCGAGGAGGCGTCACCCTCCACTGGTGCGTGGGCAACATCCCCGAGGCTAACGTGCACGAAGGAGAGGTAAGGACAGGCCCAGGCTGGTGCTCTCCTCTCCTCCTCGAGCATCCCCTCCTCTTCTTCTCGCTACAACGATCGTCTGCCCTCCTTTCATCACCCTTCTTCCCACCTTCCCCCTCCTGCCGCGACTTCTTCTCTCCTGTCTCGTCCTGTCTTCTCTTTCCGTGACCGAACGGCAGGCGGTGGTCCCGTACCTCGAGCCTGATCCTGCCTACGACGACAGCGATCCTCCCGTCAGATTCGTCTTCCTCCTCTTCCGCCATTCCCACGGCCTCAAGCCCACAGAGGTGACCTAACTTTCCCCCTCCTCATCTGCTCACAGGCACGGCAGTTCGAACAGATCACGCGCAAGGACTTTGACATTCGTCAGTTCGCCTCCAAGCACGAGTTCCTTCCCATCATGTGCACCTCCTTCAGATGCGGGAAGCGACCGCAATCAGTGTGAGGTGTCGAGGCTCCTTCCTCTGCCTCATCCTCCTTCTCCCCACTTAACTCCCACAGGAGATTTCAGCGACCCGACCGAGGATGAAGCTTTCATTACGATAAAGAGGAAATTGCCTCCCACTCCCTCCTTACAGCTCCTGCATCACTTGAATCGCTCGCTTCAGGGCCTGCAAAGAAAAATCATCCTCCTCCTCCTACTACTCCTCCTCCTCCTCCTCCCTCCTCCTTCCCTCCCTCTTACCTTCACGCGCTCTTGCACCTCCTTCCTCTTTCGGAAGACCTGGCACATGACAGTCAACGATCCTCTCCCTCCTCTCTTTCCTCTTTGACCTCCTCAGACTCGCGCGTGAGCTCGGCAAGAACCTCATCGTTGTCAGTGTCGATGGACTCCATGAGGTGAGGGTAGAGGTGATCCTGCAGCGAGTTGACCTGCTGCATCGTCATGGAGGACCACGACAGCGCTGGCGAAAGGGGAAGGAAGGCGGGGGGGGGGGGGGGGGGGGGGCGGTGAGGTTGGAGA